GTTTTAGGGGACCCCAAGGGAGACATCCCAGCTTGAGTAAAGAGGTCCCTTTGTCAAAGATGCTATATTCAGTCTTGGGCCGTCTCTCAGCTGCAGGTGGTCAGGGGCTCCCGGCTGAGTGCTGCCCAGTCCCAGCATCAACACATTAGCCTGTCAAAAGACACAGATAAGTCATCCCGGTAGAACTGGAAGGACAACCTCCATCATGCCTGCTGAGTTCTCCCACCCTCCTTCTCAGCCCCTGTTGCATTACAACAGTTGCCATTTCTTGGTTTTACAAACTAACATAATTTCCTACATGCTATTCACTATTATTTAAATGAAATTGTAAGTACAATAATTTCTATAAACAGAAGTTATTGTCTTACCTCTTATACTTTCTTCTGCTCTGGCATTGTTGTTGAAGTCTACCATGAGCTTCAGATCCATGTACTCCCAGACCTGTAAAAAGCTTCATTAGGCACATTATTTGGTGAGCTTGCTGAGCCCCCAATGGCAATCCAAATAAATATTAAAGGGAAATGTTGTAAGTGAAGTACCAGGACTAATTCCTCTGATCAGCTTGAAGGAAACAAACAAGCACGACCCTCCTCTGAGTTCAGCTTCTTCCAGCTGAGATGAGAGGCATCAGACATGAGAAGGGAGAAAACTTCACAGCATATTTATCTGTTCTGAGAAATCAATAAACTGCTTTCATGTGAAATTCACGGGAAGGAATGTCCCAGAAACGCTAGCACAATTTCAATGATTATGCTTGTTTTTCCTCCCCTCAACAGCAGTGAGTGGACTTCACGCTGAGTTGTTACCAACTGGCATGGTAAGAGGGCCAAAACACAAAAGAAAAAAACATGTTTTATGGAAAATAATTTTGGCAATATGCAGTGGATTTAGTTTCCATACAGTAATGCTAACATAAAAAATGTACGCTGGGACATGTTGAAGTTTTTTCATGAATAATTGATATGCACGCTGATGGAGGTGTACTATTTAAAGCTGTGCCTCGTAGTATAGTGGTCTCGAGTGCGGTGCCACTCTCCCTTTTACATTGAGAATCAGAGCTTTTCTGATCAATAAATCATCACAACCGACAAGATGCATCAAAAGATCTGAAATCCATTGTTAGCTCGACTCAGGCCAAACTGAAAAATAACAATACATTTTTTTTTGTTGGCCATCTGAATCCAAACATGAAAGAACAAAGTGTCTCTCGGGGGAAACTATTGACTGAGAACTGCAGCGAGGTGTGGAGAGTTCAGGTGCATGCGAATATGGATCGGTGCATCTGTAGTTTGGTGCGACAGATGTTGGGGTTATGTGGAGGTGAAGGTTTAAAGTTCAGACTCGTGGCAGCTTCAGTAGGATGTCTGAAGGGTGCAGAAAGGTTACATCTTTTGTTGGCAGATGAAGGCATCTTTCCAAAACTGGATTTCATGTTGAAGCATCACTGCCTACAAGCTATAATATCTTCTTTCTCACATAAAAGGCAAATTATTAACATGTTATTTGAAGGCATTTGAATGCCTTCAGGATGTTATCTGTGGATGTTTAGGTTCGGTATGAATTTCATTATCTAAATTCTCTCCCACTTGAAAGGAGACCCTTCCCCTCTATTAATAATTGACATTTTATTACTTATCCTCCTCATTGAGGCAGGCGTGCGCTTTGATGTGAGCCATGTTCTTTTATCAGCACAGTACTGTCTATTGATCGTTGGGCAGATAGGAGCACTATCAAAGGGATTCCTCGTGGGGCAGTCAACAGCAGGTCACCTCATACTTCTGGAATGTGGTCAAACACAGCTCACTCCTACTATCACATCTCTCTGCATCCCTTCACTTTTTATTCAGTTTATCCTACCTGCAGCCAATCTGTTTAGAATACTCACCGTTCGAATGAAATCATTTGAAGGGGCTAGTTGTGAAAGACAGGAGGATTCTACAGCAGGAGGCTGCTGTGAGGTCTCGTGTTACGGCTGAAGATTACAGAGGATGATGATCTAATTCATAATTCTTGTTACAGTCCAGTGGAGAGGCTTATCAGCTGAGTAAAAACAGCAGACTTTAAGTAAACAGTGTAAATAACAGCGAGATGTGGTGAATCAGAAAATTAGGGATGCTGTTGTTATTTGACAACTGTGTGTGCAGATACTCAACAAGGATCAGCTTATGGAGGCCTGACAACCAGAAGACTGTGTATTAGTCACACATGAGCAGTGAGGAGAGTGTTTAACAGTGTTTTGAGGATAAGTAGCTTCTGTTACTCATGAGATGGATTATAATTTTGGGAGATTGGTAAAACCCACCCATTCTGGCAAACACAGAGCTCCTTTGTTTTTGCTCTGACTGATTCTCTCCCATCGAAATACATTCATACAGAGAGCTCCCATCTGAAGTTGCAGCTGCTTTATTGGCCAAACATTGATTGTTACTCGACACTTAGAGACCAATCGTAAAAAGCACTCACAACAAAACAGAGATGGGCAGCCATAATGAGCGTGCCCTATTCAACTGAACAGAAAATACATTGTCTATTTTCACTGGTGGACACTTAGAGACCATTAGCAGGAGAAGTGTAGAAGTCGGTCATCTTTCCATCATCGATATCCCATAAGTGAGTGTCTACACAGGGCCAAGCGGCGGTGGTGAAATTCTCCCAGGCGCACCGTTCTGCGGCCATTGTTGAGGACTTGTCCAGCCCTGACTGACAGCACTTTTGTTTGTCACGGATTAGACAATCTGACTTCATCAAGGTCCATGAGGGGGTTCACGTAACGCTGACTGGAGGTCACTACACCCATGTGACCCCCGTCATGTCTCTGGACCATTCCATAGACAGGCATCAGTTCTAAAGAGAGCAGTGGCTGCTAAAACCCATTCACATATGTGTACATATCTGACACACAATTAGAGGAGAGTGTAAATTTTTAATGGAATATACATTAAGGAGCATTCTCATGGACTGATATGTTTCCAGCAGCTAATATTTCACCAGACTCTGCATCAAGTTAGGATTGAATGATTGATTTTCTATCAGACTGCTTTTCTGGAATAAATAATTCAGAGTTATAGCTTGTGACACCTCCAATATATCACGTTACATGTGTGTCATCACAAGGTTTCATTTGATTTTGGGGACCATTATTGCAAAAGGTTGCAAAAAATCAAAACTCAGATCAAGTAACAGTTTGATCTTCATCCCTCTCTGTTACTTTTTTGTTCCCATGCCTGTACTACTGTGAGTGTGAATGTGCACACGGGTATATTAATAAGAATATTGCACTGAGAGGCGAGCATACGTGACTGTCTATGACTTTCTCTCATGGCCTCCTGTCTGTGATGAGAAATGAGAGACGGTGGTGTCTGAGGTCACACAATGATTATTTGTCCCCACAAAGGGTCACATTACTCTTAAATTTTTTGTTTACACTTCTACAATCATACCTAGGCTCTGGACTAAATATTACACCAATAATGTGTAAAACATTCTACAATGGATTATCCATTTCAATTGTAAATGTATTATGTAAGGTTATTTATCTGCAAATATATATATATATATATATATATATATATCACAAAGGGCCAGCAGACAGGAAGGCCTGTTTGTTGATTCACAGCTCCAAGAAATAAGATATTGCTGTGTTTTTTGTTTATTGGCTCCTACATCTTTAAGGCGCATCTCCTGTTTCAGCTGGCGGGAGCTCTAGAAGTTGGCAAACAAGTGCTGGCAAATCATCTGCACCAGTGTTAAGTACAAATTGCTCAGATCGGCCCTTGAAAAGAACTGCTGAAGCACATCAGATACTGTAATTCCCTAGTTGGCGACTAACTTACCCCTACAAACTACCGACTCAATAATAAATGCAGGAGAATCAATAGAAAAACTTGAAACTATGCTGAGGCTGCAGAAAGAGGTCAGATCTTGACTATTTTCCATTTCACCTGGATGACAATAACAAGGACAGGTGCCTTAAGCAGGCTACAGCCATATTTGCTGCCCAACATCAGACTACTTACACCTGAAAAGTATGACATCATCACGACTCTAAGCTGATAACCCAGCAACAAACCAGCAGTTGTTGTGAGGATAAAGGATTAGCCTTTGTTTGCTTTGGCTGCTCTTTGAACCAGAAAACAGTGCAAAAAGAGGATCCGACATGAAAGGACCAACTTGCTGAGAAAGCACAGAAATGGGGTGCTACCTCTCATCAAAGAGGTTGAGTCACTTCAAGCACAAGAGACCTCTTTCCAAACAGACATTGACTTGAGGGGGGGAGGAGGGTGCTAGTATGTCGCCGCTATTTGTCCTCGCAGGTGTCAATACGTGTGTGGGGGAGATATTTTTTTCTGTCTTCATGTGTCTGTCTGGCATATCAGGTAAGGTACATTGTTGGTGGATAATGAGGTGTGATTAAATATGAATGCTAAGTGTTTGGTGGCTGCAGCCCAAAGCTGAAACCAGATCCAGTTGGGCCCACAGGCAGCATAATTAGTAGCTGATGATAGATGCCATTTATGCTGCTTTTTCACATGCTGCTTTCAGGGCTCTGAGCTGGACCTCCATGCAGCAGGCGGCTGCCTTTGAGCCATCCACGGTTAATTAAGTTGCAAATAGATAAATTGTGATAGGACTACGGCGAGCCTTTATTGCTGGAAAAGCTGGCGCACTGATTATAATCAGCTTTATTTTAATTGTTTAATGATCATCAGCGATTAAATATGAAACCGTTTGTTTCTCCCGTTTCATCTCTTTTTCTTATTACCTCTAGGGATCTCATGTTGAAAGCATGACGAAAATCCTGTGGAAAACAATATCAGCATTTCAAAGTGTTGAAAGACCAGTGTGATGCCTTTTATGGTGGAGAAAAGCCCTTTGTGCACGCCTGAAGGGTTGTGTTTGGTTTTGAGGGGCTCTTTGGATTGTCATATCCCTGGTGTGAGATTGACTCGCTCACGGTGAGCAGCCTCCAAGTTTTTGGTACTCGGCCTCTGTGCTGCAAGGCTGGGTGCACCGCTGAGCCGCCGCACTTCAGAGGGAGACACAGCCATGTCCACAGCTGTGAGGACGTGTCGGGCTTTGAGGTGCGGCGGTTTCATGTGTGGAGAAGATTAACCGAGTGCCTTTGTGAAGGCTGGAGAACTGTCCAGCTCTCCCACGTCTTATCTCCTGCATATATGTTTATGCATGAGCGTTAAGGTGGCTTCCACTCACAAACCTCCATGTGAATGGAGCAACTTGACACACCAGCCTGTATCATTAAAATAGTATCAGACCTTTTAAGATAAGTCCTGCCTGTTAGAAGCTGACAGGAAAAAAAAACCTCAAGGCAGGCTTCTGAGTTTCAATTTATTCTTCACGCTCAACAGGAACACCGCACTAACAACCTGAGAGCTGCTTGTGGTAAATGTTTCTCTGGTTTGATATAAACCGCAATTCAGGGCTGCGGACAAGAATATCATGCACCGAGGACCAGTGAGACTGTGCTGAGAAGTTCCTCGTGAGCCGGGACCATTGTTCTGTGGCTGCACTGTTTCAGCCAACGTGGTTTAAAATTATATTTTCAATTTGGACTCTAGAAAAATAGGAAAACTAAGATTTAGGGATTTTCTTATTCAATACCATGAAAGGTCTGCAAAAAAATGGTAAAATATGTCAAACAATCTATGCTTTAGAGTTTAAATAGAAAAATAATCTTGACATTTCCCATAGTCTAAAGTCATAGTTGGGATATGAGAAATGCAAAAGACTCTTTTTTGTGCAGGTATTTTATTTAGTGTTTTTTGCCTTTTTTGCCTTTGTAAATTTTTGTTTGAATTAAATATTTTTTCACGGTTTTTATGGTTTTTCTCCAACCCTTATTTATGCCAAATACATTATTGAAGATTTGAGCGCAAAATAAGTAAAAAAAACAAACAAACAAAAAACCCTCAGTCATCTTCAGGAAGCAAAAGGAAGCTGAAAAGATACAATGATCACTAGTAAACTGTAATACTACCTCTCATTGATTTGCTTTTTGAAAAAATAAGTTTGAAAAATCAGAGCTATTCTTGCATTTTTTTCATAAAAAAGACTATTCTTAAAGGTTCATAATACTTTTACCAAATTCAATCTATACCAGCCCATATATATAATATATAAAGCATATATTGGATTATAAAAATAAATATTTCTAATGTTTTGCATTTTAAAAAACAGGATATTCCTTGCAACTTTTTACAAAAAGGTTTTACATGAAAATTTAGAGTGACGGTATCTTGATTTAAACTCTAAAAACTCTATGAATTGAGAAGTTTCCCATGGGAAATAGATCGGTCTGGAATTATCAAATTAACTCAAGTATTAGTCAAAATAAAAGTGAATTCTGAACATGGGTAAAAAAACAAAACAGACTAATTGTTCTTTTCACTGTGATTAATTTGCTGTCATGTGGAGCAACGCCCAGCGATAACAACGACCTCTGTCTGAGTCACTGCGACCAGACGGCCCTTACAAAAGCTGGCCATTTGTGTCAGTGCTCTCAGTTACGACCATCAGATCAGGTGTCATTGCTTCATAACTTGCCTCACCTCCACAATATCTAAATCAGGCCGGGTTCAAGCTCAAAATTACTCCTTCTCCTCTCCATGCCTGATATATAATTCAGTGTGTCTTCACCCGAGAGGACCTGTGAGCAGTTGTAGACTTACACAGCATGGACTTAACATTCACTGTTTGTTTTATATCATTTTATAATCTGGCTGTTATTTCTGACTCTTAAAACACACCTGATCAAATCCACCTTAGTAAATGACTGACAGAAAGAGAGGTACTTTTTCTTTTATGTGACACTGTTTGTGACACCATGAGATATACTTGACGTTTTTAGTAATAAAGTTAAAAACATGAATTAAAGTACATTATCCTTTGAATCATTTTTTTGGAAATCATAATAGATGATTTTTGACAGAATAAAAACCAGAGGCTGTTGCACACAGATTTAGTCAGTTTACAGATTCTGCCCTCATCATCCTGTTAAATCTGAGGAAAATCAAATCTGAATGAATCGATATAATGCACATAAATATGAAATGACTTAATGTCAAAGAAGATTGGGAAGCAAACCTCCTTTTTGTCAGTGCTCTGTGGGATTCCCCCAATCGGGACGCTGCATGCATGCGGTTTCCGGGCAGATTTCAAGTGCTGGGAAGGTTTTGGTGTGGGGTTGCACCAGATGTCTGTGCAGTGTGTTGTAGACGATGAGATATCAGAAGGGGGAATGGGCTTTTGAGGTTGCAGAAGAAGTAGGGCATGTGATTGCGCAGCCATGTGTGCACGTGAACGCCGATACGTGCACTATATGTTGTGTGTGGGTGCGCATGCCTCGCTCTTCAGAAACAGCTTTCTGATGTAACAGAAACTGAACCCTGCCCTCTCTCTCGAAGCATTTATGGGAAATTATACATAAACACTTGCCTCCACCAACAAACACAAGTCAATGACAATAAAATGTAGTGCACAAGCGATTATTCATTTTTATCAAGAATGCCTGAAATGATGAACAACGTAAAGCGGCATACATTTTTTACAGTTCATCTGAGTGTCTATTGTTGTACTCTCATGTTGCCCCGTCAGGAACAATCTTTTCTTGGCAGCATTGTCATGTAATTGCAGGTGTTTTCTTGTATTCCGTGAGTGGGAGATGCATGTGGATGAGGGGGGTGGGGTGGGGGTAGGATAAGTGCGTTTGAAGGGGGGGCTGTTCACCTTTGTTTGGCCGGAGCACAAAAGACAGCAGCAACTAATGCTCCCACATCTTTAAACCTTTTGTTGTTTACAGCAGCCACTCATGCGGGAGGCGATCGAGTTCCCTATATCACGGCACGAGAGGGAAACCAATCCCTCCCTTCCACAATCGATCCCCTGGCTCCGTAAAGAGGCTTCAGGTGGGACAGAGTCAAAAGTTAGCCGCCTTTCTAATAAATGCGGGAGAGAGCGCAGGGGGGGCAGGGACTTCTCACACATCTTGGTGGTGGGATGAGATCTCACAGCTGAAGGAGGAGGAGAGGAAAGAGAGGAGATGGGGGTGGGGAGGATGATCTGTGAGAGAATGCGGGAGGGTGGGCCTAAGCTCCAGCTGTCCCCGGGTTTATTGATCATTGTGACCATCCTGACAGGAGAGGAGGATCACCAACACCTGCAATGTGCCTGCAGAAATCAGCCAATCGTGAGCATTCAGTAAACAAAACCCAGTAACTGTAAATCTGATGTTTGTCAGGAATATTAATACCAATTCAATTGGGATATCTCTTCTAATATTCCAGCCATAGTTTACACGTTGACAACTCTTCCTCCTAACTGTGGCTTCAACATTAAAGTGTTCCGTCAGACATTATTGATGGGTTAATGCGTGCTGCTTGTACTTATGGTTGTCTTGTCTTTGAGCTATCTCTGTGATGGATAGCCTGATGGTTTTATGACCTAACTTTTTATATTGATCAGGGATGCTGTTAGCACCACATCTTGCAGCAATGGGAGCTTAGCCCCTCCCCTCACGACTTTGAATTTTCACGTGATAGTCGTGCCACTGTCAGGTTATTTGAGGACAAAGGCACCAATAAGAGTTTAGCCCATTGAAACTAATCCCAGTCTCATCCAAAATTAGATATGACCTGAATTTAATTTTGTTCATATTTCAGTCATGTCTTAAAGACTTCTGCTTCTTTTTTTTGTCACAACAGTTGGTCCTGAACTGTAACAAACTGAATTAAATTGGTGTTGTATCTGTCTTTACAACCTCTTCTTCCGTGTTTGTCCAATGTTTATCATGTCCATCTATCACATCAAATCAAATGTCTCATATTTTGGTATACTGTTCATGTAGGATCCTGAAGACACATCCTATTTCTTAATTACTTTCAGATATGCTCGGACAAACCAAATATCTCTTCATAACATCAGATGGGCCTTAAATTAATTTAATTTATTTGTTTTTCAGCTTTGTACACTTTGTATTTACAAAGTATTTGAATTTGTGGCTAATTGTTTCATTATCTGATCTAAATAACATATGTGTTATACTTTCACTGTTACAGGTGCACGATTAGACTCAAGATCTAGGGCTCTCCCAGTTACATCTAGGCCAGTCGTGACAAAAGCCACAAGAGTCTCCAAAAACAGATGGTTCACTTTTAAAGGAAAGTTGCTCAAACAAATTTCTTTGGCAGATATATGTTAGAAATACATCCATGCTGTAATATATTTATTGTGTCTTTGGTTTATGTCAGTTTCTAGACTGACAGCGACATGTAAAAGTGATGACATATAACACCTTATCATTCTTTATTCAGTAAAAATTGAGCTGTGTGTGAAGTAAAATCTGTTTGTATTGTAATTTTTAGGGTCAGAAGCACCTATTCGCTTACCAAATGCACCAGAGATCAAGAGCATACGATTATCAGTTATAGGACAACACCTCTATAAAAGTACGTGTTTTTGCACTTTGCAGGTCTGACTGTTTTAAGTTTGTCACTCTATAGGAAAAGGTTATACCTAAGTTTGAAAAATAAAGCTGCAAAAAAATAAAACAGAAATCTATGTATTCAGAATTTCCAGGCATGTGTTGACAAATGTCAAAGGTCATGTTGCAATTACAATACAATGAGAACAGACCAAACAAATAAGCTTACCGTTAAAAGAAATCCTGCTCTTTCTAAAGAAAAAAAGAACATGGCAACACAATTCAGATTTCAATGACAGCATCTGAGCTAACAAGTGGACTTCAGGTACTCAGTGTTTCACATGATTGTTTGCAGAAAGACAGATACACACATGCACACACATTAAAAAACAAGCCCAAATATGAGCAGGAGGGAAAATGCATCTTATTGCTGATACGCCATGAGCTGAAGTGCACACGGATATGGGGCCATTTCAGCTTTATCTCCGGTTTGGTTAGGTAAACCCACCGTTTGACAGCAGTTCACAGCCCTCTGACCACACGAGCACAGTAGTAGTGTGAAAGCAGTCTCGTGCTCCGGGGAATTTCCCGTCCACGTGTCTAAATACGCGACGAGGAAGGCGGGATATAAACAAAATCAGCCATTGGTTATCGCACCCAAATGTAAATCACCCTCTATTTACTCATTTTCTGCACCCCGCCCCTGAGGGGCTCAGTATGAAGCAGACGTCGGCGAAATTAAATCGGGTGGTAGCACTTTTCCTCTCAGAATGGAAGTAGTCGTGGACGTGAAAAGGACTAAACTCCCGTGACTTGGCAGGATATTGAGCTCGTTGTCTTTTTTTTCTTCCTTTTTCTTTTTCTCGGTGTTAAAAAAACGACCGTTTTTAACGAAGCAAATCTGTGAGGTAAGGAGATTAGAGACGCTTTTTTTTGTTGTTGTTGGAGTGATCTCATTCAGCCATGGCTTTCCAACCAGCTGGTCATCCCGTAGCAGCCACGTCCCGAGGAGCGGTCAGCGGCCAGCGGTCAGCGCGCAGCGTGCCGTTGTTGTTGTTGTGGTTTTTGTTGATCAACACAAAACAAACTAGATTCGCCTCGGTTTGTGTGCACAGAAGCGCGATGTTTGTTGTTTTTGTAAATCAGAACTACTGCAGTCAGGTTATCAGCCCCATCGGAGGGATTTGAATGAAACCGGTTTTCCCGGTTTGCACGACTACGCGCGTGAATGAGTTTCAGACCGGAGTGCGTCTCCGTCACGGTTCCAAACCCCGCTGACAGCCGCTCTTCAACACAGCGGCACAATAAACGTCTTAAAGGCCCCGGTTACGTATTCCTCACCATAAATGATTTCACGTTATGCACCCCCTTCCTCGTTTAGGACGCTCCACGCGCATTTTCTTGCGTAAAATGACATTAGCCCCCTATTTTGGGGTCTGAAACGCTCTCCTCTGATCATAATAATATGAATAATAATAATAATAATGCTGTTGATGTTTTTGTTAATGAAACAAATGTAGCTTCGGGCTGTTGCACAGTTGGAGGAGATAAGGGATTACGCGTCACGCAGGGTCTCGGTGTGTTCAGCGTTAGATTGAGCTAGATTGAGACGGGGGGATGTCTCCGTGTCAGTAGCAGAGCCTAACCGGCCCGGCAGCCCGCAGGCTGGAGCCCGCATTCTGCAGCCCGCAGCCCCCCGCAGTCCTTTGCCGTGCGGGGTCCGCACGTCTGCAGCAGGGGGAGCCACTGCCTGACGCAAACACCCGGCTCACGGCATCCAGGCAACACAATGTGTCCCGATTTCTTTTCTCTAGTTTTTACTTGCGCGCTCTGTCTCTCTCTCTCTCAGAGCCTATGTTATTTCCCCGTGTTTGTCAAAACAAAGCATTACGCGCACACTATGGCAAGGCCCGCTCGTGCCACAGACAGGACAATCTGCTTCTGATGAGTGAAGAAATGAAGAGAGAGAAAAGAAAAGCTTCTCGGGGAGCTGGCAGGCTGTCAGACCAGAGTAGGGAGAGTGGCTCAGGATTTTCCTCAAGGACTGTCATTACCTTTTTGCTGTGGACCCTAATTTGGAAGTGTGGTAGCTGTGTAACCCTGTATTACAACTCGGTGGTGACTTGGGGTTTTTCTTGTGAGGCGACTTGAATTTCACCTATATTTTGATAACTCCTCGACCCATTGCCAGATTCAGGGTTGAGTCCAGTGCATTATGGACTCTGGACAGTTTGTTACAACCCTGATAAGACTGTGCAGTTTTGTTTGTTATATTCCTCTTATCCCGTTTCCATTTCAGAAATTCACAAGCAGACTGAGCTCTGATTTGATTTAGGAAATACCAGTCTTAGTGAGATTGCAAATGGGATGGTTATTTGAGAAGCCCAGACAATTAAAGACTCTTTTTTATGCTACCTCGTCACCTAAATGTCCTATTATTGTTTCAGTTGAGTCTAACTGCTGGGGATTGTGGTTTCATGGCTTAGTTGGAAAGAGCCATTTGTTTAAATAAACACTGAGATCTTTGCCATTAATGCAGTCGACATTCACTCATTTTCTCTGCCCCGACTCACCCAGTGTGGTTTTATTGATTTGAGAGCACTCATTAGAGGCCAGACAGGTCATCTATAATGATAATGATTGCTTTGGAGGAGTGAACAATAACGAATGTGTCTGAGAATATCTCATCATATTCAGTCTGGATTTGACCAAAGCTACTGTCAATGATTCCTCTGATGTATTAGTCTCACTTGAAGACAAATGTTGTTCATGCGGGATGAGCCGTGCCATTTCTGAATCGATCTTCTCACTTTTCAAGGCTGCTCATCTTATAGCGCCACCGCATGGACGATGAGGAGGATGATGTGTTCGAGCCGGATCCCCAGTGCTGGCGCACGCCGTTCAGGGAGATAAAGTGTGAAGACCGGGGCACGCAAACACCCGGTCCGGCCCTGGTGTCCAGCAACGGCATGCTGCCCTGCGGGGTGGCGGAGGAGCCCAGACCACTGTTCTACGGTGAGGCCTGACCACAAAGCACATTTCCAAGAGAGAAAAGGGAACATTTCCCTGTGTATGTGTGTGTGTGATAACCAGTGTCATAAAACCGACGCCTAACGTGAGACCGTGAGAAATGTGAAACAGCGTTACTGCGCTGATCTCACCCCCCGGCGCCGCAGAGTCCTCATCACGCTCGCTTTTATGGTCAGCGTGCGCTGTGCCCAGCTGCTTTTGCTACACAAAGGCGCCGGGCTGCGGCATCGTGACTGACAAAGACAAGACGTGAGCGCTTACCTGTGCACCAGCTCTTCACAGAGCCGGTTATCACTGACAATAAAGTTCAGGTGGCGCCACGCTCAAGCAATCATTCCGGAGTCGCTCCATAACAACCGACTGACCTCAAAATCTGAGTCTTGTTTGCTTGTTATTTGTAAGTGACTTATAAAAACTATGATGCAAACTGAGAAAGCAGATGGGGAAAGTTTGTTGTTTGAACCACGAGTGCCTGGCAGGTCTCTGCACCTGTAGGAGAGCTGTTATTGCTGTGTTTGGATGATTTTTTTGTTATTGAACCCATGCTGTTTACAAGATAATGAGTATCAGCCTTGACACTCAACAGGTAACGCAGGTTTTCGATTGCACTTCCCAGCACGATTTGAGCTTGCTGGGGATCTTGAGGCGAGGCGACCGGAGAGGGCGGAGGAGCAAAGCGGGATGGAGCGGCCGCCCCGGCAGCAGCCGGTGGCGCGCAGCGTGGAGGCTTGCATTGGACAGAAACTCCAGCTGATAGGAGACCAATTCCACCGGGAACACCTTCAACTGGTGAGGAGAAAAAAGCTGCAGCCAGCTGACTGTGCAAATTCAGGACGCAGTCTTTGGCCTTTGACGACAGTAAACACGAACAGCTTAACTGTGACACTGTAGCTTTTTAGTGGATAGACAGAGCCCGACCCCCCCCCCCCCCCCTCCTCCCAAAGTCCCAGTAAGAGCTGAAAACGTGTACCCATGACACCAACATTAGAAAAGTTACAACTGAACTTTCATGTTTCAACAGTCTTATCTTTTTCTCCTCACTTCCACCGAGGCTACTATTGTGCCACACAATAGATAACGCGCACGTTTGCTGCCAACATTTTAGGAGGTCTACAGTTTGAGTGGGTCAGGTTGCCCTCGCAGCCCGGCCGGACGAGGTCTGCGCACTAACAACAGCGTCTACACACGTCTCGGCGTTCTGATCTCAGGCTGATCTGACAGATTCATGCAGGGTCAAAAGTTTGCTCTCTTTTGCTGCGTTTGCAATGTGTTTGTTTTGGAGAGGGCCGCGCTCATGCAAAGCTTTATCCCAGCGTCTCACCACCAGCCCCAGCCCCCGACTTCTTTCCCCTCGAGCCAAAGACACAGCAGATCCAGGCCGGCCCTTCCCCCCCCCGCCGGCTCGCCAGCCCCCGGGCCCTTCCCCTACCTCCTCTTCCTGTTTATTTCTCTCTCCTTTCTCCTGTTTCCTCACTGCGCCGCGGAGGCAAGTGGCACGGAGGATGCCTGGCCTCAAACGGCACGCTGTGGTCAGGGTGACAGTGTCATACCGTCCTATCTTTGGCTTTGAAACGTAGAGGGCGACTGCGGGGGGAGATTTTTCTCAGAGCGCAGGACTTTTTGCCGCGCGCTTGGTTTCGGTCCCACACGCGCGCGTTGGAAAGGCGTATTTATGCGTACGCGAAAAAGAAAAAGCGGCAGGGAGTAGGTAAACATGCTGTAACCCGAAGCTCAGCACGTGAGCCCGGAGGGGAACAGCTGTGGTTCCAGGGAGCCTCCAGTCAGCCCCCCGTCCCTCAGCAGCGAGCAGCCGCAGGAGACTCTTAAACAAGAGCCACAAGGGGTTGTGAATAGTGGGGGGAATCTATAATAGTGTATATGAGTGATGGAAGTCTGGAGACAGAACCTTAAATGATCAATTAACAACCATCTTCATCTGTCTCGAGACTCCTGGGAACTAGTTAACTCCTTGCACTCTTACCTTAACCTCATTCTATAAAGTGCGAGACAGAGCCTTATTTTCTCATGCGCTTATCAAGCAGATGTTATTTATACCCCTGCAGCTAAGCATGACTCATGTATTGTGACACTGGCGGACGCACACCACAACCAGACAGTCAGACAGGAGGGTGGCTGTGATGTGTGTGCGCGACTGGGATGTACTGACGCACAACGCAGGCTGGCCCGGGTCAGGGGATGAGGAAGTGGCTTGTGCTCCCTCTTTGCTGGTTGAGTAAACAACGAAGAGGACAGTCAGAGTGAAAATGGCCCTGTGAAGTCACATCCTGTGCAAATCCATGTCACGACACCGATGACTGATTGAGAGGATCTTTTTGGCCCAAATCAGGAGGTGACAGTTTGTAACTCTATAACTATATTTTTTTGCACTGGGTGTGCATGTGTGTGTGAGTTTGTGTGTGTGTGTGTGTGTGTGTGTGTGTGTGTGTGTGTGTGTGTTGGGCGTGCGTGTGGCTCACTGTTACACAGGGATGTTTTTACAGCTCAAACAATGATATGTGGTTTTGGATGCATGATTCCACTGCAGCCTTTGTAATTACTATTTCTGGCCCTGCTCGTGCAGTTCATGCTATTGTGTTCGTGATCATGCATGAATACACCCATACTTGTTTTTCTGCTTTCTGTTATCTCTCACTTCTCACTGTCATAAGCTCTGGCTGAATGTACAGAAACTCTCACTCCATGGTAGCACATCTGTTTGTTCATACTCATTCGTGTCAATCTTGACAGCAGGCAATTTATAAGGCAAATTATTGGTTGCAGACACTTGTCCTTGAGCTATCCAAGTACCTTTGGCTGCCATCGAACTGATGGATTTTTGAGGAATTTGACTGCAAGTGTTCTCCATGGGAGCCCGTGGCCCTTGGCAAAAGGGGGGATTAGGTAGCAAAGGAGCACTGGTGGATGCTGACAGATAAATTGCTCCTCAGTCAGAGAGGCCTGGAGGAGACTCTGAGCTCCCCAGAGGATGGCTGACATTAGCTGGCCCGCCATTTGAGACACAGCAGTAATGACAGTCACAATGGCAGGAAGACTGCTCCAGTCTGCACAGGGCAAGGAGCAGGGTTAGGTTTCATCCCCATGTTTTTTTAAGAGAGACGACTCCCGGTGCTTTCGATAGGAGGTGTTGAAAGCAGGGTTGAATATCTCTGTGTGTGCGTGCTGACCGAGCGTGTGTGTGTGTTTGTGTGTGTGTTTGTGGTTTTATCTCTTCACTGTTCCAGCAAGGGCACGACACTCTTTCCTCTCAGCACTTGTAGAAAAGGGGGAGGAGATGACTCGTGGTAGAAATAAAAACAAAGGATTTTTAACTTTAAGTTCTTCTGTGATGGCTTTTCTTAACCGTGATGGCAACATCTACAGATGTCTATTCTCTTAACACCACTGTTACTTGGTGCTACAGATACATGTTTTTGTCCCTTTTTGGATTTTGTGCTATGACTAATCCGGTTTTGGCTATAGAGCCAAGCCTGTTTACTCAAGTGATAAGAAGACAGCGCGTCTGAGCAGCTGCCCTGGACACTGATAATGCACATCAGGCTAGTGTCAGCGTGTCGACACTGAGAGTCGGCTGAGACTCTGACGCTCTATCTCCTGCTAAATTTAGAGACAGAGTCTCATTTTTACTGTTGGCGGTGTGACTCACGAGTAAGTTGTGACAGGCCTGTGCACACCTCTTGTCATTCGCGCCCTTTTTTCTCTTTTCGCTTATCTGCATTTCGCTTGAAGCAATGGGACCGATTGCAAATAAAAGTCAGGGGAATATTTTCCCTCTAACTCTGAGGATTAATTGCGTCTGATGTAACGGCGTAAACACACAAACTTTGAAGCATAAATCCTTCAGCTGACTCATTTATCCCTGCACGCTTTACCATCGAATGCTCAAACTCCGAACATCGTTCAATATTACACACTGACATAAAATATGAATATAACTTCACTTATGAAGTAGTTTTGGAACCAAATGTGGTCCTACATAATTTAATTTTAAACTGGATAGACTTTAGGTGCGGCTGTGTTTACCAAGGCAAGCCATGCAAGGTGCTGCGAGCAAGTGATGATCTCACCCACTTTGAGCCGCATACAAATATTGTCTATTTTTCATATGAGGCAGATATTTTTTTCTATTTTTATGCTCTTATTAAAATATCCTCTGGCAAGATTTACATATGGCGCATAACAACAGCTTCCCAGGAGACTTTGCCACAATTTATTCCATCTTCTTTTAGTTTTTTCTTTTCATTTTTCCCTTTGAGCACAAGTAATGGTAAGCCAGTGGAAAGTATTATATACTCTTGCTGACTGCAACCTGGTAAGGCTTATGCAACACCATGCAATGTTCACTACAACTTGATAAGAGTATGGAAACCCAGAGGCTTATCACAGTGGCAGTCGTTGGCTGTTAACTAGGTCAAGGTTTGAATGCCATGTAAATATGACAAATCTAATCTCTGCCTGTAGATATTTTTTGGCTGTTATAAACAGCAGTGCATTGTTGCCCAAAGAAAGTGGTACACTTTCAGGCATCTTGATGAAAATAGCAGTCCTCAGTACCTGATTTATTTTTTTATTTTTTTTGTTGCTGAAAATAGCCACAACATTATCATCCATAATGGAGTCTGCCTTTTGTCCACAGATGAGCTGTTGGACTACTGTAGCTCTCTCATGCAGATATGGGTTTTCCAGAAACTCCCCACCTCTCATCAAAAGCCCCCCTAATCCCATTTGGGGCAATTATCTTATCTCAGGTTCTCAATGACTGAGATAGCATTATCCTCCTAATCGCATAGAATCCAATTGGCTCGTAAACCTGAGAGTCTCCTCCCCAGCTGCTGGCTGTTGGTCCCTGCCAGAAAGATTAGAAAGAAAAAAAAAGTGTTACTGTATGATGAATGTGTTTATGGCTCGGAATGTCTGTTGGGAAGCCCGGTCTGTGTAGGGATCCTGCACAGAGATGGAAACCTGTTTAATGAGTGCAGTTGGGGACAAAAGCAAATTGTTGTGAAAAATATCAGGAACATTTAAGGGTGTGGTTCAGCCCTTTAGCACGCTTAATGTCAGTCAGCACGCATCACGGTAAACATAAACCTACCCTCAAGAGAAAAACCAAAACGAAGGATTTTTTTTTAGGTCTGGACTTTGAGTTTTTGAGTTTCTGTGGAGTGGTCTAACTGCCATATGTTTTTACTTTATTTGTTGTTACAGTATCATCGAAACCAAAGGAACCGGGGGCCGCTGTGGTGGCGCCTGGCCGCAGCACTACTCAGCCTCCTGTTTGATAGGGGTCTCGCAGCCGGGGGACGTGGACAGAGGTGAGGGGCATCCTCCCCTTACACCCCCTCTTCTCATCTCTGTGAGGAACTGGACTCTTTATGGCACTGTCAAATCTAACACGGGTCAGTTTTGGTGGAGAGAAGAAAGAAAAAAAAGGAGACAAAAAAGGTCGCCGCGGGACGGAGACAACCAACTTTTAACAGAATGTCGTGTGTTTTTCTCTTTCCAAGAAGATGCCATGATTCTCCAAGATTCCCTCTAAAGGACAATGTTCATACTGTGGCATACATGTGGTGTAGTAGTTTTGTACAGTACATTGTTCTCGGTAAATGTTTTGCACTTCAACACACACCCATCTAAAATGACCTCCGCTGACCCTGGGAATGCCTTATTCATTGTCTCGTGCCAGAAGGAGTTTTGAGCATTTTTGATGGGCAGGTTGAGATGGTTAGGAAATGGAAGGAAATGTGGTGTGACTGTTTCTTTTCTGAAGCCTCCCAGGTGACCATTCAAGTTGATTGACTAACTTCCAAAGAGGCAACGTCTTAGAACAAATCTTTTTGCACCTCGGCTCAATGAAACATTTATCTTTTCTTCATGTTTTTTTTTCAAGTTTTGTTTTAATGACTTATCCCTTATTTTCTCGTTTTTTTAATTACATTTTATTCCTTACTCTCTCTCAGAATGTTGGGAACAAGGTCTAGTTTCAGCACATGAAAAGTCTGCTCACCGTTGAGTGTTGTTGAAAGATCTTTTAATATGCAGAAGTTTGAAAGGTTCCTGCCTTTAGTCATGTGCCACATGTCAAACATTTGGGACTTTCTGACATTATGGGGGGGTGGAGTTTACAATACTAAAAATGATTGCCTGGTCAAACTACTCTGGTGACTGACGACAGATCTGACGCACGTCAACAAAGGAAGGAGGAAAAAATGACTAAACGTGTGCAGCTATCTGCTCTAATGTGTTACATGAACAGACAAGACTACTGAGCAGTAACAACCAATCCAGCAATGCCTTTGAATCAGTAGAACATGCTGGAATGTGATTGAATTAATTACACAAATCACTTCAGTTGACATGTTTGGTTTTGCAAGAACCAGTTTGGACTGTCTCAGTATCATTCAGTGTTGCCATTTTATTCTTATCATAATAGTGAGGATTGGATCCTTGTTGTTGTTATTGTTCATAGTTGTTAGTTGTCTTCCTGGGCAGTTTTCATCCGTCCAGTTAATAATGGTTATCACCTCTATTTTCTGCCATGCAGCACACTGAACAGATATTTACAGTGAAACCGTGAGGCACTGACATTTACAGGCATGCAAAACCATTACAGATGTGGCACAATGTAATAAATTGAAGGAACTGAATCAAGCTCACTGATATTTTCAGTAAATATAACACCCACCCCCAAAATAATCAAATTTAGCTTGTTTGTAGTTGAAAAATCAAGGAACAATGTTTTTCCTATTATGGCGCTGTTCCCAATTTCTGATACAAGGATGTTTTTTTTTGTTTTAGATGTGTTTTTTCATGTGATTGTTTTAAGACCTCCATGCCCTTAAAGTGGAGCTGTGGATCCACTGTTTTTGCACTAGACTTCCACCCTTCAAGCATTCAAATAGCTACCACAATAGCTAACCTCTGTCGTTTATGAAGGTTTTCAGTTATAACTTGTTTTCTTTGCCACCACATTTCAGATGTATGCAATCACAAGTCGAAGACAAATAATCAGTGTTGAGCCCTGACTGTGCCCAGTCTGAATCCTGCATTGGACATGATTTCTTAAAAATGTCCCTAACCAGGGTTTGGAGTTTAGGTTATGTTGGAGCCATGTGCCTCAGCAGGAAGGTTTTGTGTTTTGCTTTTCACCGCATGCCAGTTCTGAACACCAAACAATATTGCATAATCAGGCTGTGAAACAAAATCTCTTCCTCTCAGGATACCTTTGTGGGGTTTTACATCACTTCATATTCTGCTGGGTAATCATACATTATGTTTGGTGCTGATATTCAGATTTGGAACATTTTAGTTAGCATATCCACCTCTGGCTCAACAGGCCCACGGTCTCAAATAAAAACAAAGACTTTACAAATATTAATATGTTTAAAGACACTGTTGAAGATGCTGTTTAAGATGATGTTTTGTTTTCTTTGCTTATCCCAGGCTTTGAACCCAAGGAGCAGTACATATCAGGGGTCTGTAATTACTTGCTCCTTCCAATGTGTCAAGTTTATCACTGCATAATTGGGATGCTCTTTCATTTTTCTCTCAAGATGTCTCAGGGACAGACTATGTGGGCTACTGGTAACCTTGAGTATCTGTTACACAGTAAGTTAAATGGCATTGTTTTTCTTTTCTTTTCATTTAACTAGTCTCTTCTCAGCCAATTTCTCAGCACACACAATATGGTACAGTTTTGACGGGGGAGTCGGAGGCCGGTTTGCTGGCTGTGGTGGTGACGGGGGCTACTGAAGGGCTATGAAGTCAGAGGTGTGTGAGGGTGCACTGAATGTGGTTGTGGTAATAGTTTCCTGCGGATCCTGAACGCTGAGCCAGTCCCTGTAGCACCCGGTCTCACCAGTGGCTCTAGACTTGGTCTTTGTGCTGCTCCTCCATTCCACGTTTCTTTTTGTTCATCAGTTAATTTCCTTTGTAATTTATTTTTTCCTTTTTATTTATATTTTTTGGTGTAGTTACCCATTTCTACTGTATACACTTGTGTGTGCAATCACTTCTTCTTTTGTCTCAGACAGTTTGATTTCTGAGTCTGAGCAGAGCACCTGGCTCATCATTGTGCCTGACATTGGTTTTTAGATCTCTCTTAGGCTGTAAAAGACGGGCAGTTTGATTTGGTGTTACAGTTCATTTCAGTGGTGGCAACTTTGACTGCTATCTGCACATTCTGCACAAAGCCTCTGCTTCCGCAACAGGAAAAACCTTTTACCATTGAAATATATTGTCCACAACATGAATTCAAGATGACTCCGGCTGCTGCTCTTTCTGAAAAAGAAATCTGCTAACCACCTCACATGAGTAAACTTATGATACTCAGGGGGAAGAAAAGAGATTAACGTTGTGCTTTTCCAGGGATGGACCCGCCTACTTTAGACCCTTTTTATATTCTTCTATCCCCTGGTTCACTAGATTCACAATGTAAAGTTCTACAGTCTTTTAAATGAGGTGTAGCCTTTTAAACGTATCCCCTAGAAGTAATGAGTCGTCAACCCATCCCACTCATCTCAAATGATGCACATAACACAAGAAAAAAGATCAAATCAGGTTGCCCCTTATATCCCCCACAAATCAAATGACATTAGTTGTTTTCAGTTACTTTTTCTTAATCATTGTATTGAAATCAATATGCACTGGAAAGTACTTTGTTTTTGTAAATCCCATAGGTCTCTTATCTGTTGTGTGCTCATGTATAGTGTATACTCTGGATTGTTCTCTTGGGCTACTCTTGCCATGTGTCAGCCGTATATCTGTGCATTGACCAAGTGGGCTCAGGTATGATGGCCTGTTGATTTATTGGAAAGGGAAACAAGCCACCACGGTGCCCTTTATAATTTTCTTAGTGTGAGGTTCCCAATCTGCACACATCACATTGTATGTGAGTGCAGAGTCCCAAGAGTGGGATGTGTATTTTTATGGAAACCGTCAGTGTCTTGAATTTTGTAGTCAACTTTATATAAAACTGAAGTTGTTGTGTTCATTTTTGTTTTCATTTGGTTGTATTTCAACAGGAAGAAGGTTCTGAATTGACTTTTTTTTAAAAAGGACTTTCCTTTGTCATGGTCTTTCATAACTTTTTAAATAGTATTTTCGTAAGAGAAAGCGCCTGCGTTTTTAAGGACAATTCATGCGTGTAAAATACATTTTAATACAAGTAGGATCATTTGAAGGCCATGAGATCGAGATTTTTTAACCTTGTATCATCATCAGATTGACACCACGATAACACTTGGTTTGGTTAAAGTGGTTCATGATCTTAGTTATGAAATGCTCGCCCTTCTTCCCCGAGTGGATATAAATTGTACATTTGTTTTTCAAACCCCGGAATATGCCTTGGAATATAACTGCTCAGTTTCAATGAAGTCTTGATTATCACACACTCTCTGTATACCAAGAAATGAGACCCAGCGAAAATGTAGCATTTTTGTAAACATTGACTGTGTGTTTTCGAGACTCTACTGTGCACTCATTTTTGTGTTTATATATATTTTTTGGTTTGTTGATATCATATGGAAGTAATGACAATTTGTTATGTAGTGCAATATGCTGTACATACAGAGCTTTGCTCTACAAATCTTTTTTCTGGATTTCTTGTTGTTTACTGGTACTTTTTTTCATTAAAAAAATGGAATGAAGTTGTCGAGTTGAATCAGGTTTATGTTTGGCTGATCCAGACGGCATCCCGAACTACAGCTGGTTTTACACGGCGGCAGCAACAACACTTAAATACTTTTTAAGCAGACAACAGATGTTCTCTCTAAACCCCCATCAGATTTCAGGATGTCCTGAAAAAGAAAAAGAAAAGCTACAGGAGAAAAATAAAATCCCTCTTTTGAATCTCGCTCTAAACGAAGGAGTTCTGTAGTGTGACAGAATGCCATTGAGGGATTAGCCCAGCGTCTGAAGCAGGCTGTTCACTGGAAAATGGTCAAGGGCTCGGCAGGGACGGCATCCATCATTTCCTTCAAGTCGTATGGTCATTAATTTGGTGCAAACAGTGGTACTTCTAAAACTTTCTAATGGCTTCTGTCCGAACTGCACACGCTCATAAACAGTCATGTATAGAGCAAAAAAAGAGGAAAATCTGCCAATTCTGTTGAGCATGAAATTAGTTACACTGTAGCTTCAGAGCCCAAAGTACAAAGGAGGGACTAATTACTCTGGACACAGGTATATGTTAAGCATTAAGTGTGTCACTGGTCTGCGTGTGTGCAAAACGACAATCCTTTATACAATGTTTCAAGACTCATTTTTAAGCAAGACACTTCAAGACAAAACTCTATATGATAGAGTAACTAAATCCAGAGCGTTTTCTGCTCTTGTTTCAACAGAGACATCGTACAGTGTTCTCCCTCAGGGCTGACGCGTGGCACTTTTATTGTTATACATGCCAGGTAGAGTTTCATGCTTCACCGACACCTGACTCACCTGTTTGGCTGCTTACAGCGAGAGAACTCCCTCGCCTGTAACCCCTCGAAACAAACACAATGAGTGTCACAGGATGTGGTTGAAACAGAACAACATCTTCTATCCCAGTCACGGCTGGCTTGCGTGCACAACTGTTGAATTGCTCTCCTCCTAATTATTCATGCCTTAAGTGAAAGAACTTCAAGCGTAAAAGAGAGAAAAATGATCAGTTAACTACAAAACTATCAAAATGTAATTTCTTGAGAGTGGAAAAGTTTTTTTTTAAACTTTTTTACATTTTTTTTTTAAAACTCTTATCACATATAAACCTGGAGGCAGCAGTTATCTTTCTTGGCTGTTTATTTCGGCTTTTAGGCTTCTATGGTTCTCTCCTCAAGGATCAGCTTTTAAACGGGGAGAGCATTGGTTTTCCCTGGTTCGAACAATAGCTCTTCTGTTCCCCCAGTCTGGCCGCCTGCTGAAAGAGACACCCATTAGAGAAGCCTCTATCTCTGGGGTCAGCCCCAGGGGTCACGCACAAGTATGGCTCTTGTTTAGGTCTGCAAAGCCAATAAAAACAAAGGAGCCTCCTACTGGCCAGCCTCTCTAGTTCAGCAGACTGAAGAGCAGATTCTGTTTGAGCTTAAGCCACAGAGAGCCAATGCATTCAGCCTCAGCTCTAGTGTGCCCATCGTAATCTGAGCAAAAGAGATGTGTCACTTAGTGTAGAAACCGGCTACATTAGAGGTAGGAGGGACAAATTAGCAGTGACAGCACCTGCTCAGAAACACAACTGCTGGCTTTCCCCGGCCTTAAGACAGCTTTGAGCAGCTTTCCACTCAGGAACACACAGGCACCCTTTTAATTGAGCTATATCAGGCATGGTTTGCGTAAAAGTAATAAAGCTGACTTACCACAAAACCCTGCTGTCTTTTCCATTATAGCCGAGGGACGAATTGTTCAGGTAAAGTCATTACGCTGGGTTTACTTCTTAATGTTTTATTCAGTGAAGAAGATTATGAATCACAGTCACAGTCATTAGAGCAGATTTTTTTAACATTAGTGGTCCAACAGACAGACAGCTGCAATCAATCTGACATTTTTGTTTGGAGCTAAATAAAACTTTTGGAAAAAGTTTGGATATAGAATGCATAATGTGAATATCCATGATATCTTAAATGTAGCTGAAAATAGCATAATGAATAACGATTGGATGTTACAAAATATGTTTTAAAAAAGTATTTTCAGCTTTCTTTTTATGTCTGCACCACTTCTGAAAAGTAGTTGGAACAGAAGCTAGCGCTTCCTGGCCACATTGAACAGAACAGAAATATGTTTGATATTTGTATTCTTTGCACCAAGAAAAATGACTAATTCGAAACTCAGTTGCCATCAAAACAACATGTATGCACAGACTAACAAAGATGTGTGTAAAAGACCAAAGTTATCTAACAGCAAAAGCAAAACCACTTCTAGCCTTCCACCCATATAACGCTTTGAATCAAAGAACTGATGAGCAATATAGCTTTTCTTTGTGGAAAATTACTGGCATTGTGTAATTTAATAACCCCTATTTCTGATTTTGAACTGGGTTTCGAAACAAACTAGCTTCCCTAAGTCACACACGAAGAACATACTGTCTCAGTCTTATATATATTTGAGCGCTTTTCATTCTTTTTTTCAAGCTCATTGCACACATCTGGTGCTCAGGCAATTAGTTGTTGTGGGAGTACGCAGCTAAGCCAACAGTGTTACATGTCACTGTCCAAAAGGCACGGCAATATGGGCTTCAGCTGAGCATGCCAAGGATGCAGGAACTAAGTTACTATCCCTACCCCCTTCTCTCAGCTGTGACCACTCACAGCTGACCTATTCTAAAACGTAAAAAAAAAAAAAAACACACCATCCCCCTCAGCCTGCTCTGCCACCCTTTGACAAGTGGAAGCAGAGCCGGCTTAAAATTAACACTTTATTCATGGTAGTTTAGATTTTTACCATCACATTTGGGTCATTTTATCAGTTCCAAAACTCAGTTTTTATACAACTTTACAACTTCCCCTTTAACCTGGTGTGTTCGAGTGCCGCTTATATTTCTTTCTCTGCATAAGGAGAGGTTGGGCAATCACTACAGAACACTGTGAGTTCCCTTTGTTTACCAAGAGTAACCCAGCAGAGCACACTGCTTTGTTGAGCTGCAGTCACTCCCGGCCTCACAGCCTCACAGCTGTGACACGCACACACATGCACACACAGAACAGAAATCTCTGACTCACAAACACTAGCAGTATCCTGTGGTCAAGGGGAGGGATTTAAATCCTCGGAGCACAGCTCATGAACCTGCTGAACTTGTCTTCTCCATCTCCTGCTGGCTATTGTTTCTCCCCCCCCACCCCTACATTTTCCAGCTTTATCCCCTTTTTTTCAAAATCTTCATACTTATCCACCACCATTTGGACCCAATTAGAAGATACACCCCATAAACCTGCGCGCAGCAGGCAGCCATCTCTCCACATGTGTGAAAATACATGCGCTTGGCATGTTGCTTAGAAAGACACAAAAGTGACGGGGGATGTCACTCAATAGGCAGAACATAAACAAGCAGGGTCATTGCTGGGAACTAATTGGCAGGAAAAAGATTCCTGTAGCAAGATAAAAACGAGAAGTCACTGTGGTTTCCTGAGAATACACCAGCAGCCCTCTGCACAGGCGAGGCTTTCGGTGTGCAATAATGAGAAAGGAGTTTGCCTCAAGCCTTTTTCTCCAAATTCACTGCCTTCACAGGCGAGTGGCACCCATGCAGAGCTGTTTGAAGCCCCGGAGCGACAGAACTGGGCTGGTTCGGAGGGTGTTTTTTTTTTTTCTTCTTCCTGGCCCAGTCGGTTGGCGAGGGGCCAGAGACGGGAGGTGGGCAGCCTGCCTTGTTAGCACACCTCACCTTGATAACAGAAGTGTGGACAGAGGGATGAGGCCGAGGAAGAAAAACAACTGCGTGCCCCACGGGTGTGGTGGCGGGTGTGGACAATTAGGCATGTGTGTGTGTGTGTGTCTGCATTTGCGGGTTTTCAAATGCGTGTGTCGACTCACGCAATGGACCTCCTCCAAACTGTAACAACTGCAAAAACATCGGGTCTAGTGTTAAACTCCGAGCACTTTTTCCGAGCTCATGTTTCACAACAGAGCACCAGGTCCTCCCGCCTTCTGTCTCTCCTTTTCTTTCTTTCTGTTTTTTTTTTTTTTTTAACTGGCCTCCCTTCCCCCACTTCCCTGATGCTCTTTCCCTCTTTTGCTTGAGCTTACTGGCCCTGCACTCACTCCCTATCTGTGCCTATCACGCACACAAACACACGCAAAACTTTTCCGCCCCACACCCCGGCGCTCTCCATCCCTGCGTACATGCTCTCCTTGTCCTCCTCCCTCTTTTGCTGGCTGTTGTTGCTGACTGACAGTTCTGATTTACTCCAGGTTTGGCGGCCGGCCAGCTCGTCTCAGACAATTCTATGAGGTAAAGGGTCGGCTGGTGGAGCCAAGTTTAGATGGCAATAAACAAAGTCAGGGACGTGCTCCTCTTCTCTCTGTTCCATCCTTTCCGATTTTGCTTTTCAGGGGAAATCTTTGCATCTTTTTCATTTTTGCAGAATATTTTTAAAACTAAGAAAAAACATCATAGGTGTAAATGATTCATCTAACAGTCAATGGATGCATGCGAAACTCTTGCTATTACATTACCACTTCTGAATTAGTCTTTTTTCTTTCCTTTTTGTTTTCCTCCATTCAGACAAAGGCAAGCCCAGTTCACCTCATCCCTTCATACAGGACTGTCTCAGCCCTGGTTGCTGCCAGCTAACTGTCACTCTCATTACACAGCGATTGGCTAATATGATTGCCCAGAGGACTGGATAAACTTCTGAACCCATACTTCTCAAAGAGAGAGCTTCAAACATCTGGAATTGAGAACCACTGGGGACTCAAGGTCTGAGAATGAAATGCATTCAGATCGTCTCTTTTCTGGCTGCACATTATTAACCTGAAGTCACCTCTGTCCTACCATGGGAGGACGTAAAACCCTGCTTAAGATAAACAAAACAACAGATATGCAGAATCTCACTAATAACACCGGGGACGTGGGACAGTGGATATTTTATGAAAAGATTATTAGAGTATTGTAATGAGGCTTTAATTACAGTCTTAAATTTGAAAAAGCTAACTTTTGGTGTGTGCCGGTTTGTCA